TAGATGGTAATACAACAATAGCAGGGGACTTTCACATCCACTTACATCAAGGGATAGACCATCCAGACAGATAACCGATATGGAAACAATGCTTTTGAATGACACATAGGACCAGATGGACATAACATATATATGGAACATTCCATCCAAAACCAAGAGAATACATATTCTTTACAAATGCAAAAGGAACGTTCTCCAGAGTAGATCACGTATTAGGCCATAAAACAAGGCTCGATAAATTTTAGATTGAAATCAAACCATATAGCTTTTCCAACCGCAAAAATACAAAATTAGAAATCAGGCACAGGAAAAAATTTGAAAAAAAACACGAACATGTGGAGACTAAACAACCAGCCAATGGGTCTTTGAAGTAATAAAAAAATACATGGGGCCAGATGAAGAGGAAAACAATGGTCCACAATCTCTGGACACACAGAGAAAGCAGTTCTCAGAGTGAAGTCCATGGCAATACAGACTTACCTCAAGAAATGGGAAAAAACCAAAACCAAAACCAAAAAAACCAAACCAATCTAATCTTATACCTAAAGGAACTAGAAAAAGAACAAAGCCCAAGGTGAGTACAGGAAAGGAAATAAAGATCAGAACAAAAATAAGTGAAAAAGAGACAAAAAAAGGTAGTAGGGGGGAAAAAAAGAACAATGAAACTAAGAGCTGGTTCTTTGAAAAGACAGACAAATCTGACACACACTTATTCAGACTCGAGAAAAAAAGAAAGGACCCAAATAAATAAAAAATGAAAAGGAAGTAACAACCACTAGATGCAATAAATGAATCCAACCTTGAGAAGTCCACAGATGGGAGTTCTACGGATCAAGGACAAGGAAGAGCTCGATGCAGTGGCGACCCCTCCGCTACCAGCTGCTGCTGGTTGACTGCCCAAGGGAACAGCTGGACAGATCAAGCCATCAAGTTGACAGCCCATAGAAAGATGAACTAAATATCAACCCCAATATTGCTGGAAGGATGGGAGGACCTTAGAAGAGCAAAGGAATGGGGATTTAAACACATGCTGCCCCTAAAGGCAACTGGAAATACAACAAATCCTTATCCCAGAACAATTTATGGAAGAAATGATTCCGTATTCACCAATGCACCCATTACGGGGGAGATGCTGCTGTTCGGTGGTCCCATAAGAATCCACAGGTTCCCTACACTCCGTTAGCAAGGAGAACACTGAAAAGAACGCTGCTTGGGCCAGCAAGCTTCTGATGGACCTGAAACCACTATTTAAGGGAGAGCTTGTCTGAAGAAATTTTACAACCAACCTCCCCTAAAGGCCCTAGATAAAGTCCAACACAAGAACTCACAAATACGGATACTGCAGAATGTGAGGTTTCAACCTGGAATGAAGGCATATTTCTGAATGGGCGCAGAAATGTTCCATTACTCCAACCCTGATCTTTGCTTGGAAGTAACTAGAGCAGTCACGAAGTTGAATTTTGGAAAGTACTTCTGACCTATACGATCAGAAGGTTTTAAAGCACAGGCCTAAATAAGATTATAGATCATTGCAAAACTTAGTTATCTATTTGCCAAGCTGGCAGTAAGGTTCTAAACGTAACGGCAGAGGGTTATATGGTTAACGAGACTTAGCTCTTTTAATATTGAGAAGATTCAACTTTAATATAAACAGTTTTTCTAGGCCTATTAAAAATAAAGAAAAACCTTTGTTTACAACTAGGCCAATAATCTAAGAAAATGGTCATTTCCACAGGGAGAAAAACCAAGCTCCAATTTATAGCAGTGTACTTCTGATATTAAAACTCATGCATTCCAACAAGAGGAATGGAAAACAGCTTATGCAGTCTCTCTCCCCCTGCCTGTCATCTCCCATGTTGATATAGGAGGTTCTGATCAGAATTGCCATCAGGAATGAAGAGCTCTCAGCTGTGGGAATGCGGCCAACAGCCCTCAACTCTGAAGCCATTCGGAACTGCCTTAACTGAATACAGCTGCCTTGCCAAGGTCATGCCCTCTTTCCAGCTGGTCACATCCAATGACTATTATAGAAGCCCTGGCCTTTTGGCCTCATTGGGGATGGTTTGAAGAGTGATCCCACTCTGGAACTCCTCAGAGAACCAGTTAAGGCTTTGGTTGATAAGGTATCAACTGCCCCAACAACTGCCTGATCTGCTCTGACTTTCCTTTCTTTTCCCCAAGTGTTGATCACTCCCAGACAGGCTTTCCCATATATATTCCATACTCTTCATCAGTCCTGACCACGCCCAGAATTCCTTTCCAAAGATCCCCGCTTCCCACCTTCTACAAGTTTCCTTTTTACATCCTAGTTTGTCCTAAGTGTTCCCTCTTTGAACTACCAGTCTTGCTTTCCCTGCAAAGAGTTGTTTCCCTTATTATTTCCAGTAGTCTTAATTACATTTATTAGCATTTACATTTGTCCATTGGTCCTTAGAGCACCCATAAAACTTCATGAGGGATCAAAGTACTTTTTCTCTGAAACAAAAACAAACAAACTAAACAGAAACAAACTCAAATACAAGGAATTGGTGGGGAGAAAAATACCATACGCTTTTTCTTATCTGACAAATTTTGCAACAGAGAGAACACAAGCCCGCCTGACTTTCAGTAAACACAGGTAGAACAGAAACTCTACGTCTGAGGCAGACAGCTCTGAAGATAGCTCCGTTTTAATGAAACCAACAAGCCGAAATTAGCTTTAATATCAAATATTTTCCTAGGGCACATAAACTTGAGAAATGTTTGGTTTAGTTTCCATTTTTCTGAGTTTTAGAATGTCCAATTATTACAAACAAGTGTTAGCCTTTAAGCCAACTAAATGGAGTGCTTTTACAAACGAGTTTTAGCAAGACCGTCCAGAGACAGAGGAAAACCTCTCACATCCACAACGTCCACGGATGCGCACACAAATACACAAACAAGAGGCAAACAAAATCTTCAAGCCCCAATCTCCACGTATCACCTTTGTACAAAACAAATCCATTGCAAGAGGGGTTATGATTTATGGATCCTTTTATTGGTCATTTTTCTTAGGAGTCTAATAAATATTGTGGCCAATCGGTGTTGCAAAAAAAAATAATAATAACCCAGTTTAAGAGGATACAACCCCAAGGGCTGCGTATGGGGATCAAATGGTCGTTTCACACATCCCAGTCAGAACACGTATACTCTTATTCAAAGATGCCAAAAGCTGCAGCAACAAACAAACCGAAGGAAACCCCGTCGGTGCCAGCCGGTAAGTCAGAGCTTCACCGGATGAACCAAAAGGAAGAAACAGGGTCACGTGCTTCCGCACATGAAGTACTCACCCAGGGACGTCCATCCAAACCAAGCCCCAGATTAGCTGCCTGCCGCAGGAGTTACATTTGGTGCCGAAAGGTACCCAGTTGGGGTGCGGCCCCTGTGATGCCCAAGGACCAAGAGCCTTGGTAGGCGCTTGGACGGTCGCTGGACTCCCCTTCCCGGCTGGGGCCCGAGGAACCATGAGCAGGGAGCTCCAGGTGGCTTCGCCAACTTTGTACCCAAACCCACGTCTGTCCACCTGAGGCACAGCTAAGATAATCACTGAGCCATCGAGCTGGCAACAAGGAAACAGCTTATCTGAGAAGTGACCAGATGAGGAACCCAACGGACCAGCCTCAGCTCTACCTTCCCCAAAGGAGGCTCAGAGCCAGGAAATTTAAAGGCAAATAAAAGGGGCCTGGGTAAAAAGTTGCAGCTGGGCTTGTTCACCCCATTAATCCTTTGGTTACCAGCTTCAGTGACATGAAGGATGTTGTTAACGCAATTTACCAGCTTCTGTTTGTTACCACCCTTCCCTCTTCCTAGGCAAAGGAAAGCCTTTTAAACTAAGATAACTCCCTGACCTCCCCGACTCAGGCAGAGTGTGAACAACGGGTCCTACAAACTTTTAGGCTAACATATCTAGGCTAATTTACATTGATCTGAAAATGAATTGTTCATGCATTCCATAAACATTGTCTACTCTGTGCCAAATGCAGTCTTGGGTGTAGGTGGTACAATGCTGATGGGATAGACAGGATCCCTATCCCGGTGGAGGTGCAGCCTCATAGGGGCCTGAGGAGGGTGACACAGGGTGGGGGTGGGGGGGATAAATGGACAGATTATAGAGTTGGGACATCTGAAGCCCAATTATGGAACTTCAATATTTTGGAGCAACAAGTCAGTCCTTCAGACCATGGGGTCACTCTTTTTGCTTTAAGTGTTGTAAGTCGGGGCACCTGCGTGGCTCAGTTGGTTAAGGGTCTGCCTTCAGCTCAGGTCATGATCTCAGGGTCTTGAGATCGAGTCCCACATCAGGCTCCCCACTCATCGGGGAGCCTGCTTCTCCCTTTCCTTCTGCTGCTCCCTCTGCTTGTGCTCTCTCTCTCTCCATGTCAAATAAATAAATAAAATCTTTAAAAAAAAATGTAAGTCCACAAAATGCACTTCCTGGAAGCAGGCATAAGTGACGTGTTTGTCGTCCACTCCGCTCTCTGCCCCACTGTGGCAGGTAATTGGGCACGTGATACTGCTGGGACCCAGACCAGCTAACTCTCTCTCATTCCGGGCTCCACACATGAGGCAAAAGGACAAACTGAGAAAATAAGATAGAGATGAAAGCCTAAAATAACAAGATAGAAGCCCTCATACCTTCAACGTGTAAACAACTGGTGTTGGGCCAAGAAACTCTGCTGCAGACCTGAGTCCCAGAGTATTCAAGCCGGTCCCTAGGACAAACAGGAGGAGTGGGGACCGTCACCGGCAACGCTGTGCTGGTGCTTGGGTTGAACGCATACACCAGCACTGTAATGAGCACTGCCGGGGCTGGGCACACAGCGGCGCCTGGAAGCCAAGACTGGGGATTTCAGTCCCAGTTTGTCAAATATTTCCAAGTTGGCTATTTCCAAGTTTGGATGTGAGGAGAAAGAAAAAGAGGTCCCCTGAGGCCACAGGCAGAGGAAGGGCTGTAGACACAGACAGACTAACATTCTGCTTCCTGCTTTTGATTTGATTTGATTCTTTGAAAAAAAACGGACCTTAGAATTACCGACGCACAGGCCAGCCTGATGACAGAGGACGTGGGCTTTGCAAAGAGTTAGTAATTTCTGTCTTGCTGTGATTATACGTACTGCTGTACAGAGTAAGAAACAGAGAACCCAGAGGTGGGACTCTTGAGTCCCGCAGCCACAACCTTCTCCCTGCCAAGGAAAGCGCAGTCCCTTGAAAGTCAGAAGTAACCCATCAACTGGTATTTTCTACTACGTGCCTGACCACGGGCAAGGCTTTCTCCTAAGGTTGATCTGGGGGAGAATCGGGGATAGGGGATCTGGCCAAACTTGGGGATCCAAAAGGGGCTAATGGAGATCACATGCTCATCCCCACGACCTGATCAGAGATTTTCATAGACTTTCTGAGTCTTCTCCTCATAGAAAATAGGAGAAGTTTGCTCCCCTTTTCTTGCCCATTCCCGTTCGTTCAAGCGTTTCTCATGTGTCCTAATAACCATATATTTCATTTTCCACCCATCCAGACTCCTTGCTCCTCCCCATTCGGTCCGGGGAGAACTCGTAAATGTCATTGGTCACAAAGCCGCTCTCCAAGCTCGCCAGAGTCACAAATCCACTTTCGGAGGGGTCCACAGCTATGTTGTCATAGTCACAAGACATGTCATCGGGAGTGGCTTCGCCTGAACACACTCGAAATGAGATGTTCTTCAGGTCTGGCCGGGTCTCAGCTAAATCGGCTTCACTTTGTTTTCGTATGACATTGTAAACCTCGAGGTCTGGGCTGTCCCCGTGGTGAGGAGAGGGCCAGATGGTGTGCTGCTCCTTCGTGCTGGGGCCTGGCTGCTCCCGTTTCCTAGGAGGAAAGAAAAGCGTGTTGAGTAGTTTAGACGAGGGGATTGAGAAAATCCCCGTGTCTCCTGCTCGGGACAAGGAAGTCATCGGGGGAGTCATGACTCTGCCCTTCTCACCTGCACGAACTTATGGGTCAGGGCTCTGGGGTGGGGTGGGATACCAAAACAGGAAAGAGACTGCCTATCTACCATTCGCTTCTGCCACAGCATAGAACAGAGGGGGTGTCCCTGGGATCCCCAGAGCTCCCATGGCATCCATGGATCGAAGTGGCTGGGGAACAATATCACATTTTTTAAAAAAGATTTTTATTTATTTATTTGACAGATCACAAGTAGGCAGAGAGGCAGGCAGAGAGAGAGAGAGGAGGAGGAGGCAGGCTCCCTGCCGAGCAGAGAGCCCGATGTGGGGCTCGACCCTAGGACCCTGGGATCATGACCTGAGCCGAAGGCAGAGGCTTTAACCACTGAGCCACCCAGGTGCCCCAACAATATCACATTTTTAAAAACTCATCTCCAAGTCAAAGTTAGCCTGCCTTCAATTCTAAATATAGGTAATAAATTGGAGTAGAATTAGCAATATCTTTGACTTGATTGCCAACAGAATCACTGATTTTTCACATCACATCACAGTTATCATAGATATACTCATCTCTACTGCAAAATTATGCTAACTATACCCACCACTAAATAAAGAAACATTAGTAAAGAAACATGTGTATTACCGAATCACATTTATTTTTTAGAAATATTTTGCTAAATTGTTTTATCAGTACAATTGCTTCCCTTGCAATCCAGAGTTATTTCACTTTATATATTTAGAGATACTGTTCTGGGAAGGGTTCCATAGGATTTACCCAACTGCTACAGAGGTCTGTGACGCAAACAGGTTAAAAACCCCTGAAAAAATCCCTGAGATAGAAATCCCAGCTTCAGAGTCGCAATTCCCAAATCCTGGTGAGGTGCTAAATAGACTAAGAAAGGGAAAAACAAAAAACAAAAAAACTGAAAACAACTGCAGAGTGAGTAGCTGGGAAATATATTCCTATTTTTTAAACTGAATTCTATTTTTAGATCAACATGAATTAACTGATAAAAAGGATCATAGTAAGAACTAACATTTTTGAGTGCTTCCTATATGCCCATTCTGCATGAATTAACTGTTTTAATTCTTTTGATAATCCTATAAGGAAGATATAATTAAATGAAGCACGTTCTGCTATTGACCCTTGAACAGTGAGGAGATTACAGGTAACAACCCTCTCCCCCCGCACCCCGTGCAGTTGAAAATCTGTAACTTTGACCCCAAACGGAACCATTAATAGCCTACTTCTGATGAGACACCTAACACATGTTTCATATGTTATATGTATTATATGTTGTGTCCTTACAATAAAGTAAGTGAGGGAAAAGAAAATGTTATTAAGAAAGTCATAAAGGAAAAAAAGGACATTTACAGACTTATACTGTATTTATTAAAAATACCCAAAACATGTATAAGTGGACCCACACAGTTCAAACCCGTGTTGTTCCAGGGTCAACTGTGTGTTGAAATCTTACTAATTCATCATAAAATGGTCATCAAAGGGAATCGAATCTTCAACTGGAACTCAGTTTTCCTGTTGTAAAATGGGCAGACCAGCTTCTTTCTGTGTATGGCACATACATGTTTCCATGTCTGTATGACGCTGGGGAGTAAAAAGGCAACTGAGAAGAGCGGTGGGAACCTCAAAAATGGTGGCACACGATCCATAAACAGAGATGATCTAGGCCACTTAGTGTGGCTATTTTGCAGCAATCTGAATCTGTATATTCAATGAAAAGCAAAGTCAACTAAAAGGTTTTAGCTATTTCGTTTTGAACAAAGGGATTCAGTTTCAGATCTTTGCCAGAAGGCTCTGGGACAGTCATTTCTCAATGGCTCCCTATTCCTTCACCCAGCTAACAAACCTCTTTGGAGTGAGAGCCTACAGTCACAAAAGCACCTTGCTGACTGATGTGTGGCTACAAAGGAGGTGAATAACCGTTTCACCCCTCAAGTCATTTGAAAGCTTTCACACACAAAAATTAAAGGCTGTAAGATCACTCTCCTAATCACAACTAAGCACAAAAGCCAGCAGGCCACCAGAGAATTTACTCTCCAATCTGCAATGGTAATTCTCTTGGAGCTGCTGTGGCCTTTCATGAAGCAAAAAGACCAATGTCCAAATCTCAAAGAGTCCAGAAGACACACAGGTTGACACACTGAAGGTTTTACTTGCCTCCTTCTAGAGATCCAAACCCAAAAGACAACCGTGATGACCACGAGGAGAAAGACGGTGCTGGGGATTAGAATGTAAGCAAGATTCAAGGCGGCTTCTGAAAAGAAAACCATATTAATATCAGTATTAGTGATGTTTTTATGAACATCAAAACAGGCTTGAAAAAGCATAGCCAACACAGAGCATTGCAAAGAGCGTGCTCCTGGAAGGAGATATGTGTACATCAGCCAGTCCGTGACTGAGCGGTGACTGTCCTATGACCCTAAGTCATAGAGAAAAGAAGTTTACATGTTGGAGTTTCTTGCAAAATATCAGAAGGGCACTGATTTAGTCATATTTTTTTCCCAGAAGAAAGAGACTCTCCCGTTTCTTGTCCTTGTGCTCCTTTAAAAAAAGCAGGGGCTGTTTGGGCAGTGTTGATGTCTTTGGCTCTAAGGACAGAAATGGTAGTTCCCAAGGTGGGGTGGGGAAGAGGGAGGGAGGGAGAGAGAAGCTAGTTTCAGTGCCATTACCAGGAAAGAGAAGGTCACATGAAACACATGAATCAGACTGTAACCTTCCCAACAAATCTGACTAAGGCTAATTGGATCCAGTTGGGGCCAAGAGCAGTGACTGTGGAGGGCATTCAGAGGCCTGATCTTTCCTGTCCTTCAAGACTTAGAACCAAAGAATTTTTTGTCATGGTTCCTTTAGGAAGAACAAAGGACTGGCGACTGACCCCTTCCTTACTCCCCTGGTCCAAGGTTCCCAACCTTCTAGAAGTTGCTGTTTTGTTTTCCTGTGAGGCTGCAAACCTGACAACCACCCCCACACGATACGGGCCCAAAACAAAACCCACTTTAAATGCCGCCATGAAAACAACGAACAATGAAAACACCACCCATCTCTGCACAGCATTTTTGTACTTTTTCCAAAGCATTTTCAATACATTTTATCTGTTGTATAATAAAAAAAATATTTGACTGGCCTTTGTCCTTGGTTCCTGGAAAAGAGGCTCTAAATCTTTGGAATTTCTAAGGTAATAGGAGTAACTGTTATTCACGAGCCCCATCAGACCACATCAGAGTCTATGCTGAGGAGATGTCCCAGGAGGGGGGCGGGGGGGTGCTAGGGATTGAGTTCAATTACATGGTCAATGACCATATCAATGATGCCTGTGTAAGAACACCTCAATGTTAAATGTATTATACGCTGTATCCTTACACCAAGTCTTTGCACACCAAGCTCAAAGGGACTTTCTGGGTGGTGGACACAGTCATGTGCCAGGAGGGTGATGCTGCTGCTTGAGTCCATAGGGAGAGGACGCAGAACCTCCCCATATGGGACCTTCCCGGACATTACCCAATCTGTTTCATCAGGCGGCTGCTCCTGATTTAGCTGCTTTACAATGAAATGTAGTCCGAAATATAGCGTTTTCCTGAATTCTGTGAGTTGTTCTAGTGAGTTATCAAAACTGAGGAGTTGTGGGCATGCTCTGGATTTACAACCAGCTGATCAGAAGCGGGAATGGCCTGGGGACCCCTGAACTTGTGACTGATGTCTGTAGGGAGGACAGTCTCATCTGGACGGAGCTCTTCCCCTGTGGGGTCTGCCCTAAGTTGGGGTAGCTGGTGTCAGAAACACAGCTTTACAATATCCTATTTCATTTCAGGGCCACGGTGATGCTCTGACAGGTGAGGAACGCCCCATTACTTCTGTTATGCAAAAGAGGACACTATAGCACGGAGAAATGACGTGTTTTTTTAAATGTTGTCCAGGGGCACAATCCCAGATCTCCCTTAATGCTCCAGGTGGGAGGCTTGAGGTCGAAATTCCATTAGCACTCCGGTTTATCACCCATTTTCTTTGATCCTTTATCATTTGCGTTGTAAAATGTTTTTGCCCGCCTCTTCTTTTTCACGTGAATATCAAGCTGGGATGTCCTGTGTCCCGCATCCCACCTGGGGTTTTCTGTGCCTGTTTCTCTATAGCTGCTCTCCCGGGACCCTGCCCCCACCCAGGACTGCTGGGTGCCCGACCCCCACCCCCCATCCTCATGCAGCCATTTCACCTACTGGCCGGTCTACTCTCCCCAGGCTTCCCAGATGGTCCCCAACTCTGCATGCACTTTCTGCAAAGCCTCAGATGGCCCATTTAGTTCATTTTTTAAATAACTGCGGGAAAGAACAAAGTAGAGAACGTAACCCTCTGTAATTTGTGATCAAGAGGGTCCCACCATCTACTTTCCCCGGGAGGGTTCTGTCCATACCGTCATTTCCTTTAAATGTCTCTCTGGCATCTTCTTTCCCTGTATCTTCTGGAAGCGTGGGTGTTGCTGGCTCTGTTCTTTCATCTGGAAACAGACACATGGACTTGAGAACACGGTAGAAGACCTCATGATCCAGATGGTCTCTGAGGTCCCACCAAGTTGTAGGGGGGACGTGAGAAAGCAGTAGCAATTTGACCAAGGCCATTTATAAAGATAGAAAAGTAAAGGGTTGAATTTGCTGGCCTCCAGGTTTAACCGTCTTCATCTTCCTGGTGAGATTTTCACTGCCAAGAATCCTGTCCTGAAACAGACAGCAGGCGCCTGGCATCAAGGCACACAGAACGCAGAGATGCCAAAGGGCAGGGCCAATGACTCACTTCTAGGCCCATAAATCATCCACGTGGCTCACTTCTTTTCTCATTAGATCGAGTTATACCTTTCATACTGTCAATAATGACAAGTTTCATCCCAAACTGAATTTGTGGTTGTTGCTTTTCAGCTTTGGGAGAAATGGGCAACTCTGGAGAGATTAATGAACTACTTGGTGGGGCTGGGTGTAGCATACACCCCTCCAAATGGTCTGACTTCCCACCAGCCCTCTTCCTGCCGGAAAATCTGAAGAACATACAGTTCTAAACCCATAAAAGGGGCCTGAGAAACAGCCCAAATTAGCCCAAATCTCAAATGATAGGCTTACCTCCAGGCTTTGTAGAAGGAGCTGTTGGTTTCTCTGCGGTAGAAAGAAACAAACATGAAAATAGTAACTAAATTTCCATGCCATCTGGATGAAATTGGCCAGATGATGGCCTCCCCTTATTTACTCACTCAGTCATCTGATAAACTTTATTTAGTGTTGCTAGATGCCAAGATCTGGGTTAGTAAGTCAAAAGAATAATTTCTGCAGCAAGACTAGCCTTCCCCCAGCTTCATTTGGGTATTTTTTTAAAAAAAAAAGTATTTTAAAATTTTAAATACAGGAATTTCAAAATATACACAAAAATAGAAAGAGTGGTATGAACCCCCATGTGCCCTCACTCAGCTTTAACCCTTATCAACATAGGGCTAATCTAGGTCCAAAGCAACCCCTACCCCTTCCCAACTACACTCAGGCCTGGATTATCTTAAAGCAATCAAAGACATGTTAACAATTCCCACTGGGGATGTTTCAGAGAGTAACAAACACTGATCTCCCCCCGAAGTGAACATGGTTGTGGTGGGGGTTGGGGAGACAGACTACCACCTGCCCACGGTGGACACTGGAGTTCTAGAACCTGAGTTATTTCAAATGTCTCGAGAGCCTGAAGACCATCAGGCTGCACAGATAATCTACATTGAATGTTTTCCCCTTGGGCTGGGAGTGCGTCCCCCTAAGGCACTGGTAGCAAATCTCTCGTGCTCATCGGATGCTCTGGGCTTCATAGGAATGGCATCCTTAAACGGCATGGTTTTGGAATTCACAGACCTTAGGCCAGGATGCTAAGGCTATTTTGAAGCTTCTGAAGGAAACTTTCAATCCTCTTCCCATAAGAGTGTGCATGCGTGCGTGTATGTGTGTAAGCACATGCGCAAAGGTAATGCAAATCTATTTATTTATTTTTATTTTTATTATCTTTAAAAAAGATTATTTATTTATTTATTTGACAGAGGGATAGAGATCGCAAGTAGGCAGAGAGGCAGGCAGAGGGAGAGGGAGAAGTAGGCTCCCTGCTGAGCAAGGAGCCCGATGTGGGGCTCGATCCCAGGACCCTGGAATCATGACCTGAGCCAAAGGCAGAGGCTTAAACCCACTGAGCCACCCAGGCATCCCTATTTATTTATTTTTAAAAGCTCCACCTATATAGTGCCTCCTATATGACAGAAACATCATCATGTTCTAAGTGTTTTCTAAAAATGAACACGATTTGCCCTGCTAACAGCCTGATGAGCCAGCGGCAATCATTCTGGTGGTTTTGTACGCCATGTATCCGAGGTACCAGGAGATTAAATAACTTGTCCAAACCTCACAGCTAGTGAGTAGCTGAGCTGGAATTGGAACCCAATCAATTCAAGTGAAAACTAACATTGTAAGGAGAGAGATTGTGTTAGGTCGTGGTGATATAATAGCAAATGAGAACAGCCCTGGCCCCCTCTGGCTCTCAGGCTCTGCAGGATGGCCAGAACATACGAAATACAGGCTAAGAATCCTAGAGAGTAATTTTGCCACAGGACATTATAACATGTAGTATATTCAACAACATGACATGACCTATTCATTTGCTTGTCCCTCCACGGTTCAGTCCACCGTGAATACTGCACTGAACACGGCACATTAATGCAGCATCACCAGCAGCCCCTGCGATGTCCTGCATTGTGCCCCTTCAGCAGATTTGCCTCTGATTTTCACTGAAGACACCTATGCCCCCAGCAGACCCCAGAAGCAAGCAGGGGTTCAGATCTGGCCAGCATGTGCCCACTCCACGCAGTCATGTTGCCAAGTCCAATTTTAGATGTTATTCAACCAGTCCCTGGCCCGGATAGACTTGCCCTCTATTATGCCAGATACATCTATTCTAGATGCTATTATGTGTGCTATCATAGATAACAGCGTATCTGGCATTACAGATGGCGTGCCACCTTGTTGGAACGGCACTGGATGTCCCTCTCCTCGCCCAGCAAGCGCAGGCATGAACTGGCCAAACATGTATGTCTCTAGACCTCAGGCCAACCATGTAGTGAAAGGGACAAATTTATAAACAGGGAGTTAAGGTACTGTGTGTGCTCAGTGCTATAATCCTCCTAGAAGGAAAACCTAATTTGTTTTTCAGGGACCCCTGGGAGGTTTCCCAAAGGAAATTTTCTTAACTTCTTATTTTGAAAAATTTCAGATTTATGAAAATTTGCTAAAATAGTACACAGTGCCCATATATTTCACCCAAATGTTATGATTTTATAGTTCATTTATTCTCTCTCTGTATCTCTCTATATTTATGTCTATGTATCTATATTTTTATTTATATCTATGGATCTATATTTTTATTTATATCTATGTATACACCCACATATGTATGAAAAACACATACAGACACATGTGTAACTTTTTTTCTGAGAAAAATTTGCAGGCATGGTTACTCTTACTTCTAATTACTTCAATATGTTTTTCAAAAGATGTGGGGGTCAGGTTCTTATGCAACCACAGTAGAGTGATCAGGACCAAGAAATCAACATTGATAGTATGTTACCTAATCTACAGACCTTATTCAAACTCTACCAATCGTCCCAATACTGCCCTTTATTGGAAACCATCATCATCATCCAGGTTCCAATCCACAATCCCTGTTGCACTTAGCTGCATTATGAGAGGAGATGATGTTCAGAGTGAACCCCAAAGGTAAGAATGAGTTGTCTGGGAAAGAGTAGGACAGTTCCAAGCACAGGGAACAGCAGCTGGGCAACTCACAATGCACACAAGGGAAGGATGAGAGGGGGGGCACCTTGTAGCAGCAAAAATCATAGTAAAAACAGTTAAATTTAAACAATTTTAGGACTACTTAGTCTTTAACTAGATATAACTAACAAGTCATTTTATTCTGGCCAGGAAACGGTGCAGATCTGGGACCCAGCAGTTGGCTTGGGGATCGGAGAAACTTCAGGGACAGATCAAAACTCACTTCAAGGTTAGATCTAATTCAGTTATGAGGAGGCGTTTGGGGAACCTCAGCGGAGTGAGACTGCGGGCTTGTAGCCAATTCAGAGCACTGAACAGATCTAGAAGCAAATGCCAGCTGAACCGGCAAGGCATAGCTAGAGGGTGGTTCAAGCCTGTTCCTTAAGGTGACTGCTATCTGTCCACTACCAGTGAAACTGAGGGACTCCATCATCTCCTTTAAGCCTCAGAAAATCATGTCACGTGGCTGCTAGAAAACCCAAGAACAATGGCCAGCTTCCTTTCACATTCCTTCTTTTTCCCAAATTCCTACAGTCAACCTCACATGTGGTAAGAATAAGAATCTGTGATAGTCCACTTAGAGGGCTTTCTGTTCCCTGCGCTTCTCATAATTCTCACTTTGTCATACATAAATTAGGCCCTTTCCTTTCTTTATCCCTTCTCTTGGCATCAGACCCCCCCACCTTGCTAGGAGTACACCTCAGTAAGGAATTGTGACTGCATTCCCCAGCCGTGCATTTGCATCAAGCTTTCTCAGAGACCATGTAACAAATTCTGGGAACTAGTAGCTGTGCATGAAGTAAGAGAGGAAGCTAAGAATTCAGCCATATGACTTGGGGAGGGATTTGTTACCATCAGAATATTTGCAAACAAAATTGTTCTTCATGTTGCACCGGTCGTCATTCCACTGGAACATGTAGGGGCCCCCGACGCCAGCAGGTGCCGACGGCTGATGGTACATGACCACGCAGACCTCGCTGCCACACGAAGGTTCATCCACGTACCAGTTCCTGGAGGAAACGGGTCAACAATGGAGACCACTGGGGGAGGAAACCCTAAGACTTCAAAACTTTTATTTTCCTTTCAAGTTCTACTGAGCCCCGAACTTAGGGCTCTGCTTCAGAAGACAACACAGAGAGAGGCAGGAATTGAAGTCCTGCCAATAAGTAGAATCACGTGCTTTCTAACATGGACATCACAATCAATCATCTGACATTCACCACAACCTCTTTGTAGGGAGGAATATATTACCATATGATATCTGCGGAGTAATTATGAGAAAAAGCAGCTAGCCGGGCCCGTCTGGGAGAGCGTATTCCTTGCCTTTTCCTAACTGGCTTTTGTTTCCCTTTGTTTCAGAAATCAGATGCACTAAGAAGAGGCCTGGCTTATCTCAGCCAGAGCTTGCCTGGCTCACGACTCTTTGTGCTTTTCAAGCGTCAAGACTGCCTTTCTAGCCCGGGGAAAGTAAATGGAAAATGCCAGCAATCTGAGCAAGGCTTTCCAAAATGCAGAGGCTGTGAAAGCAGGTGGCGGGGGGCGGGGGGGACCGGCGCAGAAGGCCCACATAGTCTTTGTCCGGTTTTAAGTTGTTTCCACTTCATCAGGCAGGTGGGTCCCTCCTTCTGCCTCTGCTACCAGATTCCTCGTCTTTGTCATTCTTGCTCCTGGATAGGGTGCAGCCCAAGCTCCACTATCCAGTGACACTTGGAATAAATGGTGCTACCACCCAGTTGGCTAGAAGGATGCCAGGGCAAGGCCTTGGATTCCATAGAGAGCCCGATGCTGTGAATGGTCACTGCACGCACTGACTCCAGCCTGGGCTTCAGAGTCTGTGTGGTTACCTGAGCCACTTCCTTCTGTTGGGCACGGATGCAAGGTGACACTGAAATTTGAAGACTTGGAGTGTCCTTGGGGCTACCTGTTCGAGTGGGAGCCTATGGAGGCCAGGGAGTCAATGGAATTCTGGCCCAGGACCAGCTGATGGTGGGGCCCATCCAGTGGTCATTTCCCCAGTCCCCAAATACATGACTTGAACAGCCATATTTGGTATCTGGTATAGTCCCACATTGGTTCCTTACCCTACGAGGTAAGAGCCGTAATAGTGGACGAGGTCAAGTGCAAGATTCTGAAACTGCACTGCCCCCACCCTTTCCAAAGTAATAAATAAAAACCAATATCTTATCCAGGGGAAGATGACAGAAAGTAGTACCACCCTTGAAGATCGGAGAATGCAAGGGTGGGGGAGTCTCCCGCATATCTCTAGTTAGTTCACCGGACTGGCCCCTGCAAACACCACGCAGACCCTGAAGGAGGATACCAGAGTAATAGAAACACAACTAGGTAGAAGCCTTAATTACAGCTGCTGTGCCATATGCGGTGTCTTTGCTCGAGCAGATATTACCTACTTAATATGCAGGTCCAGGGAACATAATATTTTCCATCAGAAGGAGAATCAGAAATAGTTTGCGTTCATTTGGAATAGACAACGGTATACATTTGTGGATTTGCCTCGGGCCTATACTAATTTTAGAACCCTCTGTCATAGTGTGGTGTGAGGAGACCTGGACTCCCTAGACATCTCGTGGAAAATCACACGGGTCTACCATATTTCTGACATGCTATTGAACAGGGTAAGCTTAGGAAGACACCCATGTGTCCAGGGGGTTAAAGATAAACTCCGTGAATATTCAAGAGCCTGCCACTTCAGACTAGGTCACTAGTTTCTAGATCACTAGATCTAGATCATAGTTTCTAGATCGCTAGAAACCCATCCAAAAATGGTAGGTTTCTAGTGATCTAGGGAATGCCGGAGCCTCCCTTTCACATTAAAGGACAAATGTTGCATCTTGAAACATCTCACAATAATGTGAAGGAGGGGGCATAGCACCTCGTAGGCCTCTCTGGGTTCTAGAGGCAGCATATTTCACACTTGGGTATACTGTTCTGGCCCCTATTTCAGCTGGCATGAAGGACAGCCAGTTTTGAGTGAGGTCCAGAGCTACAAAGGACCCTGAAGCAGGTTCTGGACTGTGGCGTAAGCAGAGTTGCCAGTTGGGCCTATGATCGAGGAGATCCCATTAGTAGAGGTATCAGGGATGGGTAGAAACACCACAGAGAATTTGTGGCAAGCCCCAAAGAGAAAATCACAATGTAGACCCCTCGGATTCTATAGCAAGGTCATGTTATCTGTAGGTGAGAAATAATCACCTTTTGTAAAACAATCCTGGCTTGCTACTAGGTGAGGAGCATCAAAAAACTGTGCAACCCAAGTTGCCCATCGTGAGTGAGGTGCTGTCAGACACACCTAGTCCCGGGCTGGGCAGGCCCAGGAGCGATTCATTCTAAGGTGGAAGGGGTCTATCCAGGACCAGAGAGCACTGTACGAGCAGGCAGAGCACTGCACGGCATCTCCCACTGTCGCTCCACGGCCTCTCCCTCAGTGTCCACCTATCCCCGCACAAGGGAATCCCTTATGACGCTTGACAAAGGCTGCCCAAGTTCTCTTCATGGATAGGACAGCCAAGGAGTACGGCTCCACAGGACAGCAGCTGCACGCCGACCCCACTCAGAGTTGGCCTTGAAAGATCAAGGGGTGAGGGGACCCTCAGATGGTGCGCCCAGTGAACCAGCTTGCATGGCAAGAGAAATTCCTGGAGGTTAGACTCCATACGGACTCAGGGGTAAAGCAAGAGCTTGGCCAGCTGATCAGGAGTCTAAGCGGAGAAAAAGGAGAAGACTGGGGATGGGGAGCAGAGCTCTTGGACAGAGTCATGTGATGCAAACAGACATATGGGAATAGGCAGGAAGTGTGAAGCTCCATCACAAGTTAAAACCCACCAGAAAGCATCTAACATGGAAGAGGCACTAAACAGGCAAGGAGACAAGTGACTCAGCTAGTTGATGTCAGTTAGCCTGGGACTGGCTGCCCCAGTGCTCATACAAGAGCTACGGACTGGAGTAGCCATGGTGGCAAGGATGGAGGGTCTGTGTGGGCTCAACAGTGTTCATCTCCTCTCACCGAGGCTCATCAAGCTCCTGTCAAACATCTAACCTGCCAGCAGCAGAGACCAAAGCTAAGTCCCTGAAGGAACACCAGGCTTAGGACACCAACCTGGCACTGGGGAGCAAGTTGACTACACTGGACTCCTTCCATTCTGAAAAGGGCAATGATTCCCTTTGATGGGAATAGACCTACAGCCTGGGTGTGGGTTTGCCTTTCCTGCCTCAGGGCCTCAGTCAGGACCACTACCCATTATTTGATCTACTGGCACAGAATGCCAAATAACATCTTATCAGACCAAGGGACCTCCTTTATAGCAAAGGAGGTGTGGAAGTAGGCTGGTCATCTAACTGGGTTTACTAGGCATGTCACGTGTTGCACCATCTGGAAGTTGCTAGCCTGACAGAATGATGGAAGAATTTGTTGACAACATAGCTGAAGCCCTAGCTGAGAGGGAATACTTGCTAGGAGGAGGTATTGTCCTTCAAGACTCAGTGCACACTTTGAATCAATGACCTTTGTATTATTCTGTGAACTCAAGAGTAAGAACACGTGGGTCTGGGAGCCAATGGGTGGAAACAGGAGTAGCCTTGTTCACCATGACTAGTAGTGACCCACTTGGGAAATTTGTGCTTCTTGTCTCTGCAATGCCCGGCTCTATAAGTTTTAGATGTCTCGCTACCCAAAGGCGAAATACTTCCACCAGAAGATATAGGAAAAGACTTATTATACTATGAGTGATGGCTGCCACTTTGGGCCTTCTGGGACCCTTGTGTCCAGAGACCAGCAGGCAAGAAGAGCAGTGATTATCTTTGTAGGAAGTAACCAGCCCTAATCACAGGAGGAAGAAGCTATGCAGTCCCCCATTTGGGGCAGGAAGAAATATGTTTGGCATCCAGTTATCTACTAGGGTTCCTGTGGGTCTTCATATACCCAATTTCAATGGTAAACGGGAAAGTGCTATCACTCTAGCCTGAGAAGTGCACATTGACTGGGTCCTCGCATACCTCAAGGCGGAGGGTCTGGGTCCTGCCACAAGGTCAGACACTGAGGCTCCCTGAGCAGAGAGTGAGGGGAATCTAGACTGGATAGTAGAGGAGGGAGGTCAGTGAGTATTAGCTGGGGTCCGGGGACCAGCTAGAGTGGTGGGCATTATAGTTCATCCTACTAACCTTCCTTTTTTTTTTTTTTTTTAATTAGAGAGGGGGCCCACAGACGGAGAGGGAGAGAGACAGAGAGGGAGAACCCCTAAATGGGTTCCACGCCCAAATGGAGCCTGACACAGTGCTTGATCTCACAATCTGGAAATCGAGACCTGAGATAAAATTAACAGACTGAACCACTTGGGTGCCCCACTCCCTTTCCTTTTTAAGGTTTTTTTCCAGGAAGAGAAGCCCACAAGAACCCTGGAGGGGCCGCCCCTGGCACGTAGAAGGAAGATGTGGATATGATTGGCATAATTGGTAGGCACGGGTAAAAAACATATTTTCATCAGCATTCTTTTGGTTGATAATGAGTTTAAACTTTTTTTTTCCCCCCATGGGATCATTTACCGTTAGATTTTCTATTTTTCAACTGCTCAGGTCTTTTGCCTCTTTATCTTTTGGGGTTTATTGACTTACATAAACTTTTAGTGTCTTAATGACTTACATCAACTCTATTGTAAAAAGATAATTACTCCCTAATTCGTTACATTTTTCTGGTCTTATGTCTGCCTTTTAACTTTGTTTTAACTAACTTCTGTTTTAACTTATGTCTGCCTTTTAACTTTGCTATCTTTTGATGTTTATCCCTGTCGCTGGGCTTCTTTGGGAGGGACTATGGCAAGGCCCCTGTGGTGCCAGGGTAAGGTGTGAAATGAATGAGTCCTGATGCCGTGGGTTTAGGAGGGTCCTCCAAAATGCAGGCTTCCTTAAGTCCCCCTTCGGCCCATCTAGGCCCACTCCCTGTGATCTGGAGCCCTAATAGACTCCTAGCTCCACAGACCCTCAATCTCTGGTTGGGGTTCTAATTCAAAAGGCTGGCAGCCAGAAGCCCTGACTTCAAGCACCACGTGCTGTTCAAACAATGCTCCTGGGCCACATCTACCTGGACAGAGCTCTTGGGACAGGAGTTGGACACAGAACCAGGCTGACTGACTGACCCCCTTCACCTCCCAGCTTTGGCCAGTGCTATCCTCTCCAGGCTTTGCCTGGCTGGGCCTTCTCCTCTTCCTCCTGCACTGGGCACCGTGGGTTCAGCCTACCTCCTTTTTGAGTTACGGCAAGTGGGTGAGCTGCTGCGGGTTCTCCATACTTACCTGAATGTTGCTGTGCTGCCATCCGTCCACGCATAAAGGTCCTGGCAGGCTGTGCTATTGCTTTGCTTCTCTTCACGCCTCCTGAGCCCAATCCAGAAATCACCATCAGATGCCAGGAGGTTTTCAATGAACTTTTCTATCAGTCTCTGTTCGTCATCAGACTCGATGCTGACTAGCTGGGCCCCATCCCTCCTGCAGGCTGTGTTGGCTTCCTCAAAGTTCAGTCTTCGAGAAGCATCGTGGAAGTAAATGACTTTATAACAAGGCCTCTGTGTCCCTCCTCGGCAGACTGGTTGTCCTGGAGGAAAAAAAAAAAAAAAAGCAACCTATTTCAGTACTCCCCAAAGTATCGCAGGACAGGGATGCTCGGTGGCATGGGCAGGAAGCCAGTGACTCATCTGTGGACTCTATAATGTCGTTTAGCTTCTCAGAGCACATGAATACCCGCTCAGCATGGAGATGCGGTGATTTAAACTCCGATGCCGGCATTGTGTGGGGGCTCCATGTTTTGTTTGTTCCATTGTGGGTCTTGAAAAGCAAAGGTTTTTGACAATCCTTTAAAAGAAAGGTAGGTGAAGATTTATGGTTCCACTTAAAGCTACCCCCATAGAACTCTTTCATCTCATCAGGAAGTCTCAGGGGGCAGTGTGGTTGAGAGGGAGGTTTCTCTGTTTGGTGTTTCCTTCAGGTAAGAGATATGCTCTGAACTTGGGGGTGGGCTACTCTATCCTGGAACCCTTTGCCTGTAGAGTAGGCTGAGATTTTGCCCAGGCTGTGGTATAAGCAGAAGCTAAGAGCATCAGGTCGATGGGGTTTTCTGCTGTGATGGATCTTGTCTAAAGACACAGCTAAGGTTTACTCAATTCTTACTATGAGGCATAAACTATGCTAATTGCATTTACATTTTTATCTATTCTTTCTCTCTCTGAACTCTCACAGTAATCCCTTGATGTAGCTCTTGTGTATGCCTCATTTTACAGAGGAGGAAACTAAGGCTCAGAGAAATTAAGTAATTTGGCTAAGGTCACACAGCTACCGGTAGCATCACCTGAGTCAGAACACGGTTCTGATTACAAAACCAAGCCCATAACTGTTGAACTATGCTGCCCAGTTCCCACTTTGCCTCAGTTTCAGGCTGCACTGGGAGCCTGTGTAACGTGTCTTATGGAACTGGCACTCAAAGGGCTGAATGCCATCTTAGACAAATGGATGGGATTCTATTAAGAAGGGACAAACTGTTCACCAGTACATACCCCACCCCCCCAGCTGGCATCTTCGGGAAGCCTTACTGTGTGCGAACTTCCTTCCATCAACACGCACTGCGTAGACGCTCTGTGCCTGGCACTGTGCTAGGTGCCGGGAATACAGAAAGAAACGCCAATTCCTAGCCTGCAGAAGCACGCAGCATATGCTTCTGGACTCAAATGCACAAGTGAAAACCAAATCTCAACAAGGGAAGTCCCTCGCAAGGCGAGAGCCAGATTGTGGGCTGTGGCTGTGAACTGCTACCACCGAGAAAGGATGAAGGATTTTGGTTTGGGAACCTCTTCCCAGCCCCCAAGGGATGTTCTCATTTTCCTAATTTGTTTTGCAGCCGTGCAGGGAACCAGAGAGCATTCATCGTTCCCAACACTGACCAGAACCCGGGGCAAAAGCTACAGACCGTGGACTGCATTTTCAGGGCTAAACAGGACCAGAGCACATGCAGCTAATCCGGGAGACTCCTGGGAAGTCTTGTTTCTACTGCTTCTTTTACTGCTTTTATAAGGAAAGTCTCAATAAGCAACAGGTTCGAAGAGTTTTGCATCTTCTCCCTTCCTCTGCTATTCTGCTATTGCTACAACTCTAACAGGACTGGCCCATCGGCAAATTAGGAGGCCTCAAAAGCAGGACATTTTCACGATGACGTTGTTCCAGAGAGAATGGGGGCCACTGGCCAGAGAGGCTGTGGCTGGCGTGCTGCCTGGGGAGAAGACCGGGCCAGCCCAGCTCTTGTGATTCCTTCAAGGTGGCTCCAAATGAGGCAGCGGAAGGAAAATGAGCTCCAGGTACCTCCCGCCTGGCCACGGGCATAACGTGAGGTGGAGTTAAATTTACTGGTAGACCTCCTTTTTCTACCATTTGTTTATCAAGGGAAAACATCACACCTTAAACGGGTTTCCTGTATGGTCCAGCCTGGCCACACATAGCAAGTCTGCGGGTGAGTGCGAGAGAGAGCCAGAGCTGGAAGGATGCCTGAGGCGCATCTGGTTCCCCTGCCTTCAGGAAGTGTCTTTCTCTTCTCATTTGCAGGAAGGGGAAGGGCGGGTCTTCTGTTCCCCACGACCTAGGACAAAGCCCATGCAGCCCTAACCCAGGCAGCTTAATTCAGATGCACACACCACCCCCTCCTCGCAGCCCACTCCCATCCTGAGACACATTTGAGATCCTTTCCATCCGCTCTGCAAGCCGGGATAACGGAGTAGAGGTTGTCATTCTCCGCCACCCCCATGGCCCGTCTGTCCGCGCCCTGAAAACCTGTGAAAGAGACATGGACATCCTCCTCTTGACATGCAGAACAAACAGAAGAGGCAAGAAGCCAGAGCACTGTACCTCCTCTGAGGTCCAAGTCCGAGGCTGCAGTGACACGACAGGAGGAAGGAAGCAGAGAGTCATTCCCCTGAGTCAGGCGGGGCTTGTCCCGCGCTAACTAGGCTTCTTTCTCCCTCTCCAAGCGCTTTGGTAACAGAGCTGGATCCCGCCATCCTCCCCACAGAGGAGACCAGAAGTAACAGGCTGGGTTCCCACCGCGTAGGGGATCCAGAATCCCCACTGTAGACGCCGTCTCCGGGAACGGGAGAGCCCCCACCCCGCCCCAACCCCAACCCCAACCCCGCTGGCTGGAAGAGAGCTGGAGAGCCTGCCCCTGCGCGGGGGGAGTGGGGCGGGCCGAGGGGGCGCCTCCTGGGGCAGATCTGCCCACTGACCCACCAAGCCTATGTGCCCCAACGCCCAGAACTCTGGGCGGGGAACGGACTTTGAGATTCCAGGAATCTCAAAGACCCGCGGGGCCGAGAGCCGCGGGGCGACTGCTCCCCGGCAAGGAAGGGAGGCAGGAGGGCTGGGTCTACCAGCCGAGGCGGGGACGCCCCTCGCCTCTGCAGTGGGCCAGAGAGTCGTGGAGGCCTTGAGGACGGCCGGCAGCAGCTGGGGTGCTGTGGGTGCACGTGCAGAGCCCGACCGGGAACCCGCCCCCGCCCCAGCGCGCTCACTCACCGCTCAGCAGACGGCCGGTGGCGCCCCGGGGCCCCGCCAGCAGCGCAGCCAACAGCATGGCCTGCAGCACGGCTCCTGGCTGCATGGCCCGGCTCGGGTGCGACCTCGCACCCCGCGGCGCCACGGCGGTGGAGCGGACGGACCCGTAGCAGCGTGCACAGCAAATGCAAAGGCGGCAGCAGCATCTCCCGGGGACCGTCGGACCCGGCACCCGGAGGAGGCGGGGAGGGCGCGGAGCCAGCGAGCGGTCCTCCGCCCTCTGGGACGTCACCGAGGGGAGGGCAGCCTCGCCGCGGGCCCGCCCCTGATGGCCTCCTCCGGCGTGCTCGGCGCTGGAGACCTGGCCCTCGCGAGGGGAGCGAGCAGAGGAGGGGAGCCAGTTCCCCGCCCGCCGCCCTCGCGTCCCCCCCACCTCCGCGCTTCCCACGGAGACCCTGCGTTTGCCCAGGGCGTGGGCCCGAGTGATATCCCAGTCTGGCTTCTCTGGAATCTGATGCAGAGAGCGCTGTGGCTCAAAAGAGGGCCACATCTCCACCCCATGCCTCGCAGACATGGCCAAGTTCACCCAGAGCCCCTGACTCTGCATTGGGGGCCCGTGGGAGAGTCGGGGCGCCGAGACCTCCCTGGGGCTCCATAGGCTGCAGTCTGGGTGCTCAGGGCCTCCCCTGAGAAAGGAATGGCGGATACAAAGAAGAGATGCTCAAGTGGGCAGTGTGCCCTGGGCCGGAAAGCTATGGGACAGTGTGGAGAGTGTCCAGCCCAGGTGGCTGAGTTGGAGTTCTGGCTGAGAAGAAAGTAGGTCCACCTGAAGCCAAAGGGTGTCTTTGAACTCAGCAGGGAAATAATCCTCCCCCTTTGCAGGGCACCTGTTGGGGGGTAGGGGTAATTGTTCAGGTTTGGGCTGGTGGTAGAAAGAAGGGTCTCCCTGGGAAAGAATGCTCCCTCTCTGTGAAAAAGCCTTCCTCACCAGCTCAGCCCTCAGTGTGGGCTCCCTCTTTGAAACGGCGGCAATACTCCTATTTCCATCTGCTTCTTACAGTGAGCTCAATGTTTTCAAATATCCGCAAATAATAAAGTGAGCCTCCTGTCCAAAAGCTGAAGTACTAAGTGGCAGAAGGTGGGTCTGATTTCCTTGCCCACCTCCCTCCCCGCCCCTCCCCCATACCCCTTTGCTATGAATCCTGGCAGAAGCCCTGTCTGACTTCCTGGGTTTGGGGCTCAGCTTGAGCCACTGCAGTTCTCCAGGGGGAGGACTGAATGAATGAGTGAATATAGCTTGGGGCTGGGAAATCTGTTTCCGTATCAGCTGATGATAGAGGGAAGAACGGCTACCCCAGAACGAAGCAGCCTCGGCCGGGTGAGGACTGACCTTTACAGCCGTCTTTATGTCTGAATTAGAATATCTCACATCCAACATGCACTCCTTCTAGAAACTCCTGGTTCTCAAGACAAAGCAAGGACTGCCATGTAGAGGGAAACACTTGAGTTGGCATGTGATATTCTGCTTTTCTTCGCTTAAAGTCTATGTAGAATTCCGGCAATTTCTTCGTCTAAGTTTCAATTAACTCTTGGTGTTACCTTAAGAGTTTTGTGAAGGTCTGATGGGAGCAGACAGACATGTAAGGGTGCCGAGAGCTGGTTACTAAATGCCAATTGAAAAGGATGTATTCCAATACTACAACACCTCTTACAACTTAGGGAAGCTGTCACCTTGGGCCAAAGAATCAAATCGTATCCTGAATTCTCCCTTTGAGACTCTGGCTGTTGAAGCACATTCATTGCCTTTGTTAAGGCATATGGTCAACCTCATGTGCTAATTATAACAGCAGCTCCAATCCTGCACAGGTCCTGGGTCCACACCCTGTACCGTGTGACTTTGCAATTCTTCTTACTAAAGGGGCTAAGTGTATATCCCTACCCTTTTTCTCTGTATTTGATTATTTCACTTATTTGGCCCTTTAGGGGTAAGTCAGAGGTATCTGAGCCTACAGTGGAAAAGGCCTCACATGTCCTCATCTGTTCTTTTGCTTCTCTGTCACTGTCTGAGAGGAACATAACTCATACCCCAGTGGACCATATACATCCCAAAGAGGAGGACACATGGAACAGAGCTGCCTCAACCACCAGACACTTGCCCAAGGTGCCGTAGCTTAAAGCAGAGCTGCCTGGCCCAGCCTAGATCAGCCAACTCCCCAGCCACACCCCCAGGTGTGTGAGCAGTAATAAATGTTTTAGATCACCTTGTTAGCTGTGGCAGCAAAGCAACCATTATACCTGGTAAAGCAGGTGTCCAGGTATTATACCTGGTAAAGCAGGTGTCCAGGTGTGGACAGGTGTGCACTGGGGAAGGCTGGGTAGCTTACACAGTCCAGTTTTCCTGGTAAAATTATCTTGGTCCAGGGTCCCATCCTTAATTTGACAAGCCTAAACCCAATTAAGAGACTAATATAGTTATACATTGAGAAATATTATCATCAACCAAACTGATGTTTGTATTAGTCTGCTGAGCACACGCTCTGCTTCTGGGCAAGAGATTTCCCACTGAGCATGGAATCAGAACAAAGGGAGTTAGTTATCGGATTTGAAAGGTTAGGCTTTGACAGTCTGCTCTATCCATCTTTACAAAAGAGATTTATCTGTCTGGCAGATAACAATATCAGGGTGCCTTTTACTCTTCATAGTGCTGATGTGAGACTGCCAATTTATAATTTTCCAAAAAATTTCCCTTTTCTAGGCCTGACTACTTCCCTCTGTTCAAACATTTTTCTCCAAATAGTGTTGTGGGCAAAACTACTAGTCGTCCACTGATACCTGCTGTCCATTTCTTTTAGCGAGAGTCCTGAATGTTACCGAGGCAGATGCTCTTCCATTTAAAGACTATTCCCCTCTCCCTTGCAATTTGGTTTATCCCAGTGATGCAGTTCTGACCGGTGGGTCACCCACGGCTCTGTGGGCGCTGTGGGTGGGAGCTGCATCCGGTGGGGGTTAGTTAGTCCAGCGGCAGGGGGGCCAAGAGCTCAGTGAACGGTGGTCCTCAGTGGAGCGGGGTGCGTCAGTGGAGCCCTGGAGCAGAGCAGACGACCCTGAGTAAGACCGCCGGTTCCACAGCGCAGAACGGACACTTAACCTTCTCCTTCCCGATATATACCAAAGGGAATGACCTTTGAAAGTGAGGGAGGTTGGCAATGGGATCGTGCACATGGGTCTAAGATAAAGGAACAGTAAGCCAGCTACTTGCAGAACTAGAAGTAATTAATTTCTAACTTCAGACATGTTCCAGAAACTGAATAAACCAAAATTTGGAAAATGGATTTTATATAGTTTTTTTTTGTTTGTTTTTTTTTTTTTTTTTTTTTTTTTAACAGCGAGAAGACTTTAGCGTTTTCAGGATTTTTTACTGTCTCAAGTTGGGGCATATAAAACCCCTGTTGGGGCATATAAAACCCCCGTTTGATCTGATACTCATAATATAGATCAAATACAGTAGTTCTGGACATACCCTTTCCATGAAAATAAGATAAATGGGAGTTTCAGAATGGGGAGATGACAGAGAGGATTGTGTGGTGTCACATCCAGCAGTACCCACCAAGTAAAGTAGATGCCAGTATTCAGTAACTGGTAAAATCCCTAGAAGTCTCCATATTTAACTTTTATTTCTTTGTCTGTTTTAACAAAGTGATCCCAATGGTCCTGATTATTAGAGAAGGTTGTTTCAAAAGTCAGGATCTAAGTGAGCCATCCTCACCCTTGCGTTGATCACGTTAATCCAAGGCTTTGACCTCCTCTTGGTCGTCCTTATCTGACTCTGACATCACTTTCCTGTTGGCAGTAACATGAATCTGTTTTAAGACACAGAGCTCTGTAGTTGTGAAGGCCACGCAGCAGGGAAACAACTTCTGAAAGTCTCCCCAGTGAAGATTTACTGTCTTGGATCCTGACCATGCATCAGATTTTGCAGCCAAGTATAAACGTGCAGGTGGGAAGAATGGTCGTTATGCTGTGAAGTGTGATGTAAAGCGTTCGGGAGAAGACTGCCTACACGCAATGTATTTTGCTCACAAGTCATGCTTGTGATTATCATGGGTGATTGATTTCTTTGGATTACCCACGGTCCTTCTTTCCTTCTAGTCAGACCTCTTTTAAAATGCAAGTATTCGTGGTAGACATGAATAATACATCAATAAACATTTTGATACCAAAACCTTACTATGAACACACTTTCTATTTCTAGTTCTTTCTGACAAAAGGGGATCTGGATTATCCTAAGAAGATCTGTTGGAGGAGGATGGTAAAGGTGTGTAGCTCTGTGTGCAGGGGGTGTTGGGCAAATAGGAAAGGTTGGAGGGAGGAAAAGAGTGCAAAAGTTAAGTATTTTACAATAGTGTTTAAAATATTTCAAAAACTTAAAAAGGTTTATCATGTACAGTATAAAAGCATCACCTTCTAGATTAGCTAATACTGAACTACATGATCTTTTGGAACTAAATTTTTTGGTTATCAATATTTTCTGAATTCCTACATGTAGTCAGTGTGCTAGGCACTTTGGGTGACTCAGTTTCTCAATGAGCTTGCAATATAGTTGATAGACAGGTGAAAAATACATGAGGGACATCTGAGTGGCTCAGTTGGTTAAGTGTCTGACTCCTGATTTTGGCTCAGGTCACAATCTCAGGGTGGTGAGACTGAGCCCCAGGCCAGGCTCCGTGCTGAACATGGAGCCTGCTTAAGATTCTCTCTGTCCTTCTCTGCCATTACCCGCCCCCCTCCTAGTGTGCTTTCTCTCTCTCTTTCTCTCTCTCTCTCTCTCAAAAAAAAAAAATACATAAAGAGTTAAATAATCTAAGAGTTAATGAGTTGAGTGATTATAAAATATGGCTACTCATAGTGTACAGTTGTTTGCAGAAAGAATGGTACAGATGGTAACTTTATAAGATGCTCAGAGGAGGAAGATGTCCCAGTGAAATGGAGTGAGATCTAAGGCTTCAGGGCAGAGGAGGGAAAAATGGGCAAGTTGAATACAAAAGGAATTAGGCAAACACATACGGAATCGTCCATTCAAGCTGTGAAATCATGTTTTACTCTTAGGCGAATCAATAGAGGTGGTACCAGGAATGTCCTGAGGATTCCTATAAAAATATGCCCAGAAACCTAAGGGCCCAGACTTATTGCTGATACTGTGTAAGTACTAGCTTTCACCCATTATTTGAATCAGATAAATGCATCTTTCCATTGGCGAGTTTTGCTCTACTCTTAGAAGCTGGTTCAAATAATCTAATAAGGAAGAAGTTATACTGCTGAGTATTACGTAGACAACACAGCCAGGAGATTAAATGATCTTTTCATTTTGTTCAAAACTTTTTAAAATTGCTATGGGCTTCTTTATTTTTTAAGAGTATTACTTTGATAACATTAAAGGGAGTCAGCCTCAATGAGATAAGAATCTACATTCTCTTACTCTCTAACTGTTCTTCCCTGAATACAGCATGCAAATATGTATTTGCCAAATTAATGTTGAATTAGCCACATGGACTTTCAGTCATAAAACAAAAGGTGGGAAGATTGTTTTCTTAGAGCTTCTTTAATGATTAACTGGTGATAGGTGGTTTCAGCTCTTCTGGACCGTGGGCCTCCTCCTGCTCTAACATTATTCTGGGGATAATAAGGCTATGAACCCCTCCCTGTGGGGCTCCAGCCCTTGCTACCTGAACCAAGGTTTAACAAGCTTAGGGATGCCTTTGGTGGTATGGGAGCTGGTAATCTAAGAGACCTGCTGAGTTGCTACAGATGAGGGGGCTAAGTGTGGGGAGTGGGGAGAGGAGCTGGGGGGCCAGAATGGGAAGGGCAGGGTAGGGAATGTGTGCAGGGATTCCGGCTTGATCGGCTGTCCTGTCTGACCGTTGTACCCAGGCCTACCGCACAGAGATGCAAATGGGCACACACACTTGAATGTGGATGAGGAGAAGGTTTATTCAAGGGAAGAAATCTGTGAATACAGCAGGAGGGTTTTTAGAAGGCTAGAGGGTAAGAGGCAAAGGGAGTACCAAAAAAAGTGCTTCTCTAAAGGGGGAACTAGAAAGGTAAGAACATTTTTGACAGACGTAAACTTACTTTGCTTTGTGCACTTTGGCCTTTGGCTTATAAGGAAGGGAAACCAGTTCTTTCTAAAAACAAAACAAGACAGAACTCAAAAAGCATAATTTTTACTTCTTGCGCTGACTGACATTTCCTTACTGGGGGAAAAAAAACAAACTTAAGGTCTAATTATCAGAGTTGGTACAGACTAGCTTCTTAAACCTGGAGACACTGGGATTAGAAACGTTCCAGATAAAGGGTATTTAGGGGTTATTCAGTAGAGCAGGTGTTGGTACATCTATAACTTTATAGGGTGCTGTTATTTGTTTTATTTTTCTGTGTTTCTCTTCATTAAGCATTTGTTTTTGTATGATCTAAGCAAGATCAGTCATTGTAAAACAAAGATGAGCACAGCGGTAGCCCATATGACGGAGGCCCATGTGACTGTCCTACAGCTTTAACATATGGGACGACAAACCTGCTGTCACGGCCACCTCATCTCTCTCCTAGCAGAGCTGCACACTCTGGAGAACTCAAGGATGACGAGACTGCCTGATGTCTATCCCCTGCCCCCACACCAGTAGATAGAAGGCTCTGGATTATGAGTATTTAAGTTTATGGGGACAATCCATAAAACCTCTGAGAATTTGCCGTAGTCCCCCTCCACCCCACACAGATTCATCTGAAGGTCTCTCAGTCTCACCGAGATCCTTTCTTCTCTTTGTTTTCTTAGGAGTTGGAGAATCTCATCTCTCCTTTTAGCCTGCTTAAAGGAAAAAAAAAAAAACAACTGGGTGAGTTTTTTGACTCAATAATCAAGCTTTTGTCTGTAAAGGATGGTTTTTTTTTTTTTTTTTTTTTTTTTTACATTTCCTTTCTGGCATCTTTGGTAGAATTTAAAAATATTTGTTTTCCATGATAGATTTATACTTTCCATTTGTAACACAGTTGCTTCCAGAGGACACTGCTTTATAAAATAATGTAACTTTGATACTCAGTGGAAGTGTATTTTTTGATGCCCATCTAATAATCTAAAAACTTTTATGAAGACTTTACTACTTAAACTATGCTAAGAACTATATGTACATTATGCCATTATTTTCTTGTAATAACTCAGAAGTTTGACACTACTATGACCCCATTTTACAAAGGAGGACACTAAGGTTAAAAAACTTGCCCACAGTGGCGAACTGTGGTTGATCCCAGCTCTGTTTGACAACAAACCCCAGCCACTGTCCACCCCATAAACCGCCATTAAATAGCGAGGTCAGCAAACTCTAGCAGCTGCCCACAACCCAAGCCCATGACAAGAAGGCCCTTAGTAGGTCACATGTGGAATCTCATTCATCTCTCCTCTGCCTTCGATTTCGAGACACAGACACTCTCAGGGAAATTTTCCTAAGTGTAAAAAACTAATTTAGTGTAGGCATGAAGATTTATCAATTATATAGACTACAAACGAGAGGCAAAATAGGTACAAAAATTCTTTCAGAAAATGCAGTTATGTTCAGTTTTGGAGACATCGAGGCAGAAAATCGCCATTGCAACTATTTGAGAACAAAAGAAAAACCTGAAAATCAGATAAATAAAATTTGCAACTTCAAGTGGCCAAATAAAATGAAAGAAGCTCTGTTTAGATCAAGGCTAGAAGCAAGAAATAACAGAAGAGACACAGATTTGTCATAGGCAGGTACAAAATCAGTCAGCCATCCATTCAAATGTACTGAGCACTGCACTGCTCTCCTAGGGCAACCATAACCTGGCTGGCTTAAAACAGGTATTTATTGTCTCACAATTCCGGATGCTAAGAGTCCAAAATCAAGGAGTAGGCAGGGCCACGCTCCCCCTGAGACCCGGAGGGGACCCCTCCCTTGCCTTTGCCTAGCCTCTGGTGGTCGCTGGCAATTTGTGTCACTCCCTGCTTGCAACTGTGTAACTCCCAACTCGGCCTGCACAGGCACTTGCTTTCTCCCTGTGAGGCTGTCTTCCCCTGGCTGTCTCAAAAGGACACCCCACCCTAATCCAGTAAGAATTAACTAATTTAACTAATTCCATCTATAGCAGTTCTATTTCCAAATAAGGTCACAACCAGAGGTACAATGTTTTGGACTTTGATGTATTCCTTTTAAGCGGAGACACATTTCAATCCATAAAGAGCCCCCGTGATGTACCGTGGCTGTGCTAGGGGCTGAACAAGGCATTTCCTGCCTGCAAGGGCACTGCAGAGAATAGTTTCAAATGTGCTACGACGATGCGGGTCATCTAGGGTGCGATCAGAGACCTCAAAAGAGACCCTTAATTCAGACTAGGGTGGGGACGTATGTACAGGGAGCCTCAAAGACGTCCCAGAGGAGACAAGCTGGTGCCTGCTAGTGGGAGTCACCAGATTGCAACAGACAAAGCATGGGGATGAGAGTTTTGAGGCAGCAGAAGCAGGTTGTGCAAAGCCCCAGAGGCTGCTGCATGGCCAAGTCGTTCCTTGGGAGGAGTCCTCTGCCCAGACACCTCCAGGAGAAGCTACCAGCCCCGCGAGTGCTCCACAGAGACGCTTGGGAGGAGGAGCCCATGCAGGGCGTGAGCAATCAGCAGCTGGGGCCGGGGCACCTGTTCCTGGGCTTTGCCTCCTTTTGTTCATGTCACATAAATCTTGCCTTTAAAACCTGTGACATTTTTAACGTTGGGACAGGATTTCTACTTTTTTACTTGAGTTTTAGGCCTCATATACCACAGTCATTGAAAGAAAAATAATCCAGGGTACTTGTAAACACTAAGTTTCATAATACCCATCTACTTGCTGGGGACTGAATTAAATAATGTCTGTAGGTAAGGACTTAGCGTGTTTTCGATGTAGGTATTCAGAGCTGGTTTCTTTTCCAGCTTTTCCATTAGGCACGTGCTACTCAGCTGCAATTAGCTGTCCCCATACTGTGATTACATAGGCCTTTATACCTTTACTAAGGTACTGATCTTACTTTCCTTCTTTTATCTCATAGTTGCGACCATGACTGTTTCCGAGTCTGTTCGTCTTTTTAACCTTCCTTAGAGCTAAGCAGTGCCTCGTGGATGACAGTCAATGAATTTTTGTTGAACTGAATTGATTGAGTCATTATATAGGAATGGAATCATTGCACTAATACACAATTATTAGCCTAAGCAAAAACAAGAAGAAGAAGAAGAAACACGTTTTAGTAAATGAAATTAAACAATCGATCCATCGATAGTTCTTAAAATCCCTTATGAACAAAACTCCGTGACTATATATATACATATATATATATGTAGCCATAGGCAAATTAGACAGTCATAACACTTCTCATATACACATAGGCACATATTTAGTTACAAGACCTAAAAGAAATGAGAAAATTAAAAATTCATTTGTCTTAAAGAGAGAGAGAATTTATTCTAGGATTGGTCCAGACCAAGTGCATGTTCACGGTAGGAGAGTGCCGCCAGCCAGCACTGAGCTACCAGCATCACGGTGTAGCACGAGTTCTCATGGCTTGTGTAACCTGGCCAAGGGCTCCAATTATAGAATTTTATTTTAAAAGTGGGGGAAGGAGCCATTGGCTGTGGAGCCTCTACCTGCCTCAGTCTCTTGCTCCCAAACCCCTGCTCACATCATCCCCTGGTCCTTCCTTTCTTGGTGAAAAATAACTCACACAGATTTTATGTTAAAAAATAGATGCATTTTTTCTTTTTTTTCAGGTCCTTTTTTATTTTAATGGACTTTAGTACCAAATCAGTTTTATAATAAAATGCACCAGAAACAAAGCTTTCAAATATGATTTGATTTCTGCTTCTTGGACATGTTTCCTGGGAATGAATAAGAAAATTACTGTAGGCAACAGTGTCATCAGAACAAAAACACGGCCAAGTAGTCTAATAGATCTCTGCCTTGATAGTTAAATAAATTCAGTGGTGAGGGAAAATCCTTACAATTTACCTTAGCAATAGGGATAAATAATTTACTTGTTAAGTTTATAACAACAACAGAATAATCATTTCTAATCACAGTATTTTGGTTGGGTTCAATAATGGAATATTGTATTTATAAGACATTTTAGTCATAAAATTTATTAATTCTTCAAATGATATAGGGAAATCAGAATTTATAATATTTTAACATATTTTCTTATATATTTATAAATTTAATTTATATTATATACTATTCTTGAAAAATATGTTATAAAATAAAAATTGATTCCAAGAAATTAAGATATAATAGGTAGATTTAATATCTCATAGGTGGTTAATGAATTTTAGTGTCACATCAAGAATTAAATTGCTTAGTTCTCGCTCTTTGGCTTTTCAGAGCCAAATGACTTGGGGGTCACAACATATATTACAGAGCCAAGCATTTGGGTTTGAATCTCAGTTCTGCTGTATGCTTAATGGCAAGTAATACCTTCCCTATCCCCACTGGCTCCTCCTTTCTTCCCTCTAACTGTCATCACTAACCCACAGGTTAGAGGCTTATGATCCAGAGTCAATCAAAAAGCTACTCTCTGAGCCCTGGATTTCTCATTTTTTAAAAAAATTTTTTATTTTTATTTTTTAAAAATATTTATTTATTCGACAGAGATCACAAGCAGGCAGAGAAGCAGGCAGAGAGATAGGAGGAAGCAGGCTCCCTGCTGAGCAGAGAGCCCAATGTGGGGCTCAATCCCAGGACCCTGGGATCATGACCTGAGCTGAAGGCAGAGGCTTTAACCCACTGAAACACCCAGGCGCCCCTGGATTTCTCATTTTTAAGGAAGGTTGTTGTGAAAACTGGAGATCGTGTCAACACTGCTTAATGTTAAATATTTAATAATGGTAGCTATTATTATTATCAGAGAAAATTTTTCTTCCAATGCTTTCAAAATGTGGAAGAGAGGGAAAAAGAGAAGGATAGGTTGCCTGCCTTCTGTGGACAGGTGCGGAGGATACTGATGACTCCATCTCTGGCCTACAGGTGAGGTGCTGAAGAGATCTGGGTGGAAGAAGAGGGGAGACGAGGAGGGGAGACAAGGGGGGATGCCCAAGAGATTATCTGCCCTTGATTATGCAATGCAAATGCCTCTGTCCACAAATTCCCCAGCGTATTATAGACATTCTCCCTAGGTAATCTTCAGTTATTAAAGAGACTCTTAAATAATTAAAACACTAGACTTTAAAAGAAAGGTCCTTTCTTCACAAGACCTAGTTCTCCTATGAAAAATCTATTTTTTCTTTGGCTTATTACTGTAATTTTTTGAGTGAAACATTAACCAGAAATAGCATATGTGTCTATTCCTCTGATTACTAATCTACATTACCAAAAGAAATTTTCTCTGGACTACCACAGCACAAGCAGAACTATCAAATTTAATCCTAAAACTATCTTAGAAGAGTATTGGAGTGATTTCAAAACCAATTCTTTGCCTAGACACCTGGCAACCATCCCAAAACTCAGAGAATCTAGAAATTCTTGGAACTAATTTGGTATAGTAGTTAAGCACCTTGGTCCATTGTCAGATACTCCCAGACTCAGTCTTTACTATATTTTAGCTACGTGCCTTTGAAAAAGCCACTTATATGTTTCAACCTCAGCTTCCTCAGGTTTTAACAGGGGTAGTTATGGTCCTCCTCAGAGTTGTTCTGACGATTAAATAAGAATGGGAGTAAAGGACTTACAGTGTATGGGCTATGTAGTTAGTTCTCAAAATATTATTATTATATAACAAGAGGAGCAGATGATCTAAAAGAAAAAAACCATGAAGAAAATAGACTAAAAAATACTAGAGGAAATACATTAGTTTA